TATCTAGGAAATGGCTATCTCCCAGATTTAGAAGTGAATTCAACCCCAGACAGAGAACACATGGAATGTAGCCTTTGAATCACCTCATTAAAAACCCAATTCCCTCTGATGGGCAGAGTCACACCTCTGGGTCAGAGTCCTCCTAGTTCTCCTTTTCTAGCAAAGCATTAAAACTTCTTTTTTCTTTTTCTCAAAAACATGTCCTCATTATTGTATTGGCATCAGGGAGAATGACTGAGCAGAGAAAAGAGAGTTAGGAGTGGGTGTGTAGCACTCTTTTACGTTTAAGGATGAAACACTAAAGTATCACACATAATTCTGCTTGCATCATATTATCATATTAAGTAGAATTTAATTCACAGCTGTATCTAGCTTGAAGGGAGACTGGAAAATGTCTACTCTCCTGGCCATATAATCTCCTGGATCATGGTTGAGGAGCTGATTTTCCTATTAGAAGAAAGAAGGTTGACTGTATCCTGAGTGACAATCATATATCTTATTGTATGTATTCATTATAATTATTATTACATTGAATATTAAATCTTTCATATTTGTCCCTATTGTTACATTAAATAATATTAGGTTATTTTAATAACTGTAAACCTCAGGATAGAGATAAATCACACTACATCCATTCACCTACTAATGAATATTAAGATATAATTATCTAATAAATAGCATCTCTCTTCTTGATCAGAGTTGAGCCAATTTAGAATCAGTTTTATCATATGAAAAATTATCTTAAGAAAAGATAGTCTGCAAGTACACAACCAAGCAAGCTGTCACAGAAGCCACAGGGCAGAGAGGTTCATAGATCAAAACAAAATGCTAAAATTGCAGGGCTTATTAAATCAACATAAAATAGAAGATGGAAAGACTGCTAGAGCTAATAAATTCAGCCAAGTAACCATTTATAAAACCACATACAAAAGTTGATAGCTTTCCTATATACCAATAAAATATCATAAAAACAATACTGTCTTATTCAGCTTTTTTTTTTTTTTTTTGCTTCAGTGGCCCAAAAAGAATAAATTTAGAGGAGGAAAAATTTATTTGGGGACTCACAGTTTCAGAGGTCACTATCCATATATAGTTGGCTTCATTCCTTGGGGATGAGGTGAGGCAGAATATCATGGCAGAAGTGTGTGGTGGAGGAAAGCAGCTGGGAACATGGCACCCAGGAACCAGAGTAAGACTTAAGCTCAGCTCACAAAATATATACTCCAAAGACACATTCCCAGTGACCCACCTCTTCCAGCCATACCCTTCCTGCCTTCAGTTAACACTCAGTTAAATCCTGTCAGGTGATTAACTCACTGATAGGGTTAAGGCTCTCATCACCCAATCATTTTACCTCTACCTTTTTGCACTGTCTCACACATGAGCTTTTATCTAAACCATAAAAAGTCCCATTCATCATAACCTACAAAAATAACTAGGAATAAATCTAACCAAGGAAGTGAAAGATCTCTACAAAGAAAACTAGAGATTATTGAGGAAAGAAATTAAAGAAGATATAAGGAAAAAAAAAAAACTCCCATGTTCATGAATAGGTAGAATTAATATTGTTAAAGTGGCCATATTGCCAAAACCATTATACAGTGTGGGAGGCCGTCACATCATGTGACCAGTGTTTTCCCTTCCTGATCAGTTGAGGCACTGTCGGTCATCCCTGATGATCTGGTTTCTTTTAAGTTGCTGAAGACAGTAGCCCTGATCTTTTTTATTTTATTGGTTATTCAAAACATTACAAAGCTCTTGACATATCATATTTCATACATTTGATTCAAGTGGGTTATGAACTCCCATTTTTACCCCAAATACAGATTGCAGAATCACATCAGTTACACATCCACGTTTTTACATATTGCCATACTAGTGACTGTTGTATCCTGCTACCTTTCCTATCCTCTACTATCCCCCCTCCCATTTTCTCTGTCTACCCCATCTACTGTAATTCATTTCTCTCCCTTGTTTTTTTTCCCTTTCCCCTCACTTCCTCTTATATGTAATTTTGTATAACAATGAGGGTCTCCTTCCATTTCCATGCACTTTCCCTTCTCCCTTTCCCTCCCACCTCTCGTCCCTGTTTAATGTTAATCTTTTTCTCATGCTCTTCCTCCCTGCTCTGTTTTTAGTTGCTCTCCTTATATCAAAGAAGACATTTGGCATTTGTTTTTTAGTGATTGGCTAGCTTCACTTAGCATAATCTGCTCTAATGCCATCCATTTCCCTGCAAATGCCATGATTTTGTCATTTTTTAGTGCTGAGTAATACTCCATTGTGTATAGCTGCCACATTTTTTTTATCCATTCATCTATTGAAGGGCATCTAGGTTGGTTCCCCAGTCTAGCTATTGTGAATTGTGCTGCTATGAATATCAATGTAGCAGTATCCCTATAGTACGCTCTTTTAAGGTCTTCAGGGAATAGTCCGAGAAGGGCAATAGCTGGGTCAAATGGTGGTTCCATTCCCAACTTTCCCAGGAATCTCCATACTAGTAGCCCTGATCTTGAGGGTGGTAAAAATGCAGCCAAATGTGTCTTCATGCGTGGGCGTGCCTTCTTACATCCCCAGGGATCGAGTTATTTTACCTGTCCTTGTAACCCGGCTCCTCTTGACCTTCATTGGATGGAAATTTCTAAAGAATCTAGAGTCCCCCCAATAAAAGTCTACTCTGAAATGTGCACACGCTAGTGTTCTCCCTCTCTCTCCCTTTCTCTTTTTTGCCAGCCTCCCGTGATATTCCTCCCTCTACCATTTGGAGAGCTCGAGGCCAAGGGCAGAGGAGCCGTCTGGGACTTGAAATTAAAGGTAAACACAGGTTTTATTTGATGCCTTAGGAAATTCACTAGAGCAACCTCTAGTTTAGCTGCCTGCGCTGGACACGGGTGGAAATACAGATTCAATGCAATTCTCATCAAAATACTAATGACATTCTCCACAGAACTAAGAAAATCAGTGCTAAAATTCATTTGGAAGAATATAACACCCAGAATAATCAAAGCAATTTTAAGCCAAAAAATCAATGCTGGAGGCATCATAATTCCTGACTTCAAATTATACTATGAACTTTAGTAACAAAAACTGCATGATACTGGCATAAAAATAGACACATAGATCAATGGTACAGAATAGAAGACCCAGAAGCCCACATAGATATAGTCATTTGATCCTTGATAAAAATGCCTTTTCAATAAATAGTACTGAGAAAACTGGCTATCTATAAGTAGAACAATGAGATTAGGTCCTTATCTGTCACCCTGCATGAAAGTTAACTCAAAATAGATCAAAGGCCTAGGAATTAGACCAGAAACTGAAAATCTTAGAAAAAAAAGTAGGGTCCACACTTCAACATATAGGCATAGGCAATAAGTTTCTTAATAGGATCCTTAAAACTCAGGAAATAATGTCAAGAATTAATAAATGGAATGGCATCAAGTTAAAAAGCCTCACAGCAGAGAAATCTTTGCTAGTTACTCTTCTGATAGAGGAATAATATCTGGTAAATATAAAGAACTCAAAACTCAAAGAAGCAACCCAGTTAATAAATGGACAAATGAGCTAGATAGACACATTTCAAGAGAAGAAATACAAATGGTCAACAGGTATATGCAAATATGTTCAACATCATTAGCAATTAAGGTAATCCAGATCAAAACTACACTGAGATTTCATGCTCCAATCAGAATGGTAGTCATCAACAATATGAACAATAATAAATTCTGGAGAGGATATAGAGAAAAAGGAATATTTTTACACTATAGGTGGGAATTTTAAATTAGGACAACCACTGTGGAAATCAGTATGGAGGTTCCACAAAAATCTAGAAATAGAGACACCATAGGATCCACCATATAACACTCCTCAGAATTTATCCTAAAGTACTAAAGTCATAACACTATAGTGATACATGCATTTCCATGTTTATAGCAGCACAATTCACAGCAAACGAGCCGAGGTGTCTATTGATGGATGAATGGATAAAGAAAATGTTTTAGTCAGACATAAAGAAAACAAAGAAAATAAAGAAAAACAAAATCATGTCATTTGTAGAAAAATGGCTGGAACTTGAGAACAATATGTCATGTGAAATAAACCAACCTCAAAGGCCAAGGGTCAAATGCTTTCCCTCAGATATGGAAGCTAGAGAGGAAAAAGGAAAAGAAAACAAGGGGGTCTTATGAAAACTGAAATGAGATCAATAGAATAGAGGAAGAGGACTAGCAGAAGAAAGGAGGGTAGAGAAAGGGGAAATACTGGGGAATAATATTTGTCAAACTATATTGTTATATTGTGTGCATGTACAAATACATAACAACAAATCGGAACATTGTGTGACTCTGTAATACACTAATAAAAATATGGAAAGAGGCCAGGCAGGGTGGCACACACGTGTAATCCCAGCATCTCAGGAGGCTAAGGCAGAGAATCCCAAGTTTAAAGTCAACTTCAGCAACTTAGTGAGGCACTAAGCCACTTAGCAATCCTGTCTCCATATTTAAAAAAATAAATTAAAAAGGGATAAATATATAGCTCAGTTAAGAATCCCTGGGGTCAATCTCCAGTACTGCCCCCACCCCCTCCCCCCAAAAAAAAGGAAAGAAAAAAATAAAACATAAGAAGCAATGGAAAATAAATGGGGTAGGTTAAGACAGGACAGGATGTAATCAGGAAAGAAGGCCCACAAAAGATAAAGAATGTTGTCTCTCTCTTTCTCTGCTGCATCAGCCTTCTCCTACTGGGGCTGTGGTGGTGAGGACTAGAGTTGAATTTTGAGACTATGGAGTCCACAGTTACAAGTTCACCAACATAAATTCTTGCTTTATTGAAGAGGCCCACTGGCAATTAACCTCATAAGCAACTATGGATTTTAACTGCATTTTCTGGGCAGAGAACTTGTAGGACCAGAATGGCGTCACCAATGGATAGCTTATTTAAGAAAGACCTCATAAATATCGACTGCTGCTTCATGTATATTATCCAAATTAAATGCTTACCCTTTCTCCTCTTGTTGCTTAATCACATCATCACAGGGGAGCTCATAGTTGAAGCTATCGTTCTTGCATTCTAGCCACTGAAAAGAGAGAATAGAGGTCGGGGTGAGATGCTGAGGCTTATAGCATGCTGAGAAGTTAGTCTTGCTAAATGAAAGGCAGGACTGGGTGGTGCTTGTTCAAGGCCTCAAGTGCAATGTCTTACCTTTTTGAAATCAGTCATACGCATGTAAGAAAAGTCACTTTTAGCTGAAGGAAACCACTATGGTAAAAATCCCCCAGCCATAGCCTAGCAAATATCCCCAAAGCTGAGACATTTCCTGTCCTGCCCACACTTAAAGCCTCTTTATTCCATATGCTCTTTTCTGCTCCGGATTATATAATTATTGCTTGTTTTTCAATGTTGGTAGTCAAATGGCTCATAAATAGTATCCATCTGGACCAACTGACTTAAAAAAGAAAGAAAAGAGAAAGTCAAATAGAAATTAAAAATATCACCTTTTTACTGGTAAAAACTTGAAAAAAAGGTCTGATATCTATGGGCAAATAGCTTTCCTAAAGCTGTACCCTACAGGCTAAGTCACAGGTTGAAGTCACCTATTGGAGTCCTCCTCATACCAACAGGGCAAGGTTAGCCCCGTCAAATTTCCAGAAAGGAGCAGAGCATTATGTGTACTTCTTGCATGGTAGCAAAGTACCCAGAAAAAAAGAAGAGAAAGGAGCCACACTAGGCAGTTTCATTTCCAATGTCAAACTCTCTAATAATTTACTGTACTTCCTGTGAAGAGGAAAATATGCACTAGTTAGTGTTTCTCTCCTAGAGCAGCAAAACATCACCATAGGTGTGTTTTTTTTTTAAAGAGAGAG